AAGTATTTTATGAAAGCAGTTGACTATAGACTTAGTTCACGAGATCACCGTCCTGCTCCAACTTTTCAATAGTGATCGACTTGTTGCCTATTTTTTCAGTTGCTACTTCGTAACACAGTGCTGGAATTTTCCCTTCCAAGGAAATTCCATCGTCCTTTAAATGATACGGCGCATCTGAATTTTAACTTAAATATCTAAGGTACCTAAGTCATTTGCATCAGTCTAATTGAAATAATTATAAATTAATCATTAGATCATAAAATTATAATCATAAGGTTCTTTATCGTGACCAAGAGTGTTATTGCTTTAATCTTTGTGAAGTTTTCTGTAGAAATTTTCCACCCTTTTTGAAATCTCTTGTCTGTTTCTGATCAAAGTGCTTTTTCTGCTTTCAGGGCTAAAATTTGTCGTTTCATGACCGTCAATTTTGATTTAACTCCTGCTTCAACTGTGTTTTCCATAGTTTCTTTTACCAATATGCAGTTGAATACTTGCGTGTTTTCTTTTATGTTTGTTCAAAGTTTTGCATATTAATATCTTTGATTTGTGGTCTACTGCGGTCTTCATTTTTCTTCATTTCTTTATGAGATTTTTTGTTTGCTTCGTAATTTTCCGTCCACCTTTATGATTTTTGTTCCACAACTGTTACAAACAATTTCGCAATTTTACAATCAAACAGTTATATTTTACTTTAATTAACGCGTGACCTCATCCTATACTAGATTTCACACGAGATACAGTACTGTTAGTTTCGGAATTATCACTGACCCATGGCCTTTTTAAGTCCGTTACTGCTAACTGGAAGCAAAGGGACGGTACGATATATATGCATTAAAGATCATATGGTCTTAGAATAGTTATTCATAACAAACTCAGGTGTACGAACCCATTGTTAATTTTTTATCTGGTTAATAATTCTCAATATGGTTTGTTTCTTTTTAGGTCATGCAAAGTGGCTGACTGTGAGGTACTGCTGTTTGAACTTAGCGAAGGCCAACGACTGTAGTTTTCGCTGCATCGACGTCCCTCGTCTCCCACCACACATGCGGCTTGGCTGCAGCGACTTCTACGACACAAGCCTCCATTACATCGGCTTCAATCAGGACTTTGGTGAGGTTTTTTGCCCTTGAACACATTACATAATAACTTTCGCTAATCAATAGGCTGTTTCGCATGCGGATCTGACACCGGCTTTTGTATATTTAATACTGACCCTCTCAAGGAAAAGGAACGACAAGGTATGTGTAACTCGGTGTATTAATAATATGCAACTGTAAGATATAACCCACTGGTATATTCGCAACATAATCTTCAGTACATACCAGCGTTTTTAAAACTCCCCATTTTTTCAATACGAATAGCTTTGGATTCTCTTTTAACTTTCAGCGTTTTAGTTCAGTGTTTTAATTCGGTTTTCGGCACAAAACCATCATCAGGCATGAGTTGTTTATAACCCATTTAGCATACCAATTAATCTTAACACTTAACAACGGTATGCGAAAACCAGTACATTCAGCTGGTTTACTGTCAAGGACCAGGTGATCAACATGATACCGATAGCGGTAGTGGATTAAAATATAACCTAAGAACTCGAAATCCAGCGGTTATACAGAACCGTATTAATCTTGTGTATTAAAATTTTTGCAGTCGTGAAACTCCTCCGTACTGGTGTTACGTCATGAAGTTGAATCTCAGATGCGATTTTAGGATTACGGTTTCTCCGATGTGAAGTTCATTTCCCTGTCATTCCACAGTTAATATTTAAGCACATGGCTGTTGCCAGTAATACGATATATATGACGTAGGATTTGCTCAGAATTTGAAAATAAGGTACTACAAATATGAATCTATTTCTTTATGACAGTGTCACTGAAAAGTATCATCATTTTGCAGAGAGATAAGATATGATGATATAAATTTGAAGAACTTCATTTCGTTTGATCATACATGGTTAGGAGGCCCAAGCGTTAAACAGAGATGAAGTGCTTTACTAACAGTTGACTAGTTTCATCACCCATCACAAGTAACATCATCAGGACTGAATGAATGAAATACTCAGGTAATTTATTCAGTCCTGATGAAGTTATCGGTGATGGGTGATGAAACCATTCAACTGTTAGTAAGACCTTTTCATCTTCATCTTCAATTTCTGACTTTAAGCTCCCACTGGCGGTGCCTTTCTCGTGGAGCCTTTTCTGATGTGCTGTAATGGCATCGCGCTGTCTGCCTCCTCTGTTCAGAACGGGTAGCGACTCCGTTGCTGACTCTTCGTCGTCGTTTCGTCGGTCTTCTTCAGCCGTCGTTGTGCTGCCACGCCCCCGGCTGGCCGAGGGCAGTGAGCAGGTTCTGATCGCCGACTTTTCGCAGTCTGCCTCAGTCTCCCAACAACCTGCACGGCCCTTAGTAACCCGGGCAACCACTGAGCCGGTATAACTTTCGATGGCGTCAATACCACGAGTGGCAGGTGGCTAAATTTTCGGAGACTTGGCACGATCTCCAACCCTCCTCCTTTCTCATCCGAGCTTGGGACCGGCAACGGCTGAGTTAAAACTTTTTCATATATTTTAATCTTGGGCCTCGTAACCATGTATCACTAAAGTGATCCTTTCATGAATTATGGATTCATAACCGAAATCTTTCAAGAAAATTGCGCTTTAATGATGCCGATATGCAGCTGATGCAATTTTTCGTATGTAGTTTATATCGCAAGTCAGGTGTCCACTGGATTTATTGCCCATGATTCCTGTATGGTTTTGTTTCTTAGTTCAAGTATCGTCCTCATCTCCATCCTTACAGTGACGACAGTCAGAATCGTGATTGTATATTTAGGATAATCGTCGCCATCTTCATCAACATCATATTCATTTTCATCACTACCATGATAGTAGTGACAGTGAAGATCATCAATATCTTCAGGGGATAGCATGTAGGAACAGCTGCAAAAATAAATTCAGCACTGCCGTCTAATTAAAATTTGCAGATTTGACCCTTTCAAGATTTTGCGATGTGTATCAATGCTCATCGCAGTGTTTGTCATGCTCATCACGTTAATTCTTCCTCCTTCATCGATCACCATCGTTATTTTAATCGTCGTATTTCAAACAGTCCCTGAGAAAGCAGAAAGCCAAGTGAAGTACCAAAATCGGCTGTCGTCAAAACGTCTTGACCGTCTGCTCTGTTCAATATCACTTGGACAACGAAAGATTGGCGTCGTAGTCAATATTTGCTTGAAGTCTTGGCACCTTTAATACCGTCTGTCCTTTTTCTCCTGTTCCATATCTTAATTCACGATTTTTATTTGTTTCTCCTTCCTTTTCTTTGAAAAGAATTCATATATCGATATACTAAAGTATTTAGTTTTTGACGATGGTGGCATCGCTTATGTCGAGATGCTCTTCCGTTGCAACTTCCTTGGTCTGGTTGGTGGCGGTCGAAGTCCGAAGTACCCGCCGAACAAGGGTAAGGCAAATCACCATCCTGGTAGATCAGTCGTTTGACGTACGATGCTGCTTAGTGATGATCTGGGACGATACTAAGAAGGCACCAGTGATAGAGTTGGATTTCGCGACCGATGTCAAGGCAGTGAAACTGCGTCGAGACCGTATCGTGGTCGTCCTCGAAAGACTGATCAAGGTTTATTCATTCACCGCAAAGCCTCAACAGCTACACGTTTTCGAAACAGGGCAAAATAGCAAAGGTAAAAAAGAAGCATAACCAGTGGAAATGTAGTCATCGAGTTTCTAAAACATTGGTTAATCATTTTGGCATCATGGACCGTAATTAATTAATCCATTAAATTAGATTTAATTTACGGTTTGTATTTTATGTTTAATCAGTTATCAGGGTGTGGTCATGCCATACCAAAACTGTTCATTGGTTAGTGGCTTATTGTCCCTTTCTCCGCGTTTTGCAATGAAACGTAGTAGGGTGAATTCTTTCGCCAGTAAATTATAATTAAAATTTTATGGCACGCTCGGATATAAACCCCCTCCCAAACTTCTAAAGACAAGAAAGGAGCAAGTTTGTCACAGGTGAAATATTGATCTCTCTTACATGCTCTTACATGTATATGATGGGTACCTTTGTGGCACCTGCCTCTCAGAAACTTTGAGCGGTGTTGATCTTCGTTTCTGTATCACCAGTCAGGATTGCCTAATTTTAAAGTTAATATGTACAGAAACGCAGTAAATGCACCGTGTTTTCACTCATTTCCTTTTCGACCACATTTAATTTTGTTTTCAAAAACAAGTCGGCCGTTTGTATTGGATATCTATATCCAGGTCTGTCGCCATTTTTGATGATCTGATAACTCATATGCGGAGGATTCGTACTCATTGACTACCCTACTGTATAAATGGGGCCATATTATTATAAGGTTACCTTCGTATGTTATCGCTTCCTAGTTGAAAACGGACGCGCTGTCGAAGTCGACGCCAAAAACTGCCGATCATCTTCGGAATCTTTGCATTGAAGAATAATCATCAAAATGCGGTCTGAAGCGCATTCACCTATTACCCAGTAGCCCTCTGTATTGCGTAGCGTGTAATAAGATCATTGTAGTACTATTTTTCAGATATTCCTCTGTATTCTTAAGTTTGCCCTTTTAGGTTTATGTTGCTTGTACGCAAGTACGAGTGACTCTCTGCTCGCCTTTCCGGCGGTAAAATGTGGCGACCTGCAAATCATCGATCTCGCTAACGCAGACGAAGCTGCCGTCACGTTCCATGCTCACACGTCTCCTCTGGCATGTCTTGCGCTGAACAGCGATGGGACGATCATTGCCACTGCATCAGAGAAAGTGTTCTCATTTCGAACTATGATACCCTATGCATGTATACTATACAAGTGTTTTCTCTATACAGGGCACTTGGATCCGGCTGTTCAGTACAAAACGCGGCGAGAAGTTGCATGAAGTTCGACGAGGCTCCAATCCCGCCCTCATTTACAGGTGAGTGGGAGCATAATCCTAATCACTTTGCTGCTGTTCATCAACCTTGTTGGCCTGAAACATTTTACAGTATGAACTTCAACGCAGATTCTTCCCTTATGTGTGTCAGCAGCAGTCGAGGAACGGTTCACATTTTTGCTTTGGCGGAAAAAGACTTAAAAGAATGCATAAAGTACGTAAAAGCTGTCTAATAAATGAACGTCAATTTATTTTCAACAAACAGGTCCACAAAGTATACTATTTTTTCCTGGCTCCATGCTCGTTTCAGTATATTTTCAGATATCATCCAAGCAACATCCTCACTGTCTTTCTGTCTGTCTGAGAGTTTGTCAGAATAAATTATTTAAAACATGTTTACGTTGTACATATAGGCAAACCCGTCAAGCATGGGTCACCGTTTCGCCAATAACAGCCTATTTCTGCATTAATGGCAGCCCGTAATGACTGCCGTGTTGAATAGAGCAAATACGTGTACATTTCTTCCGAGCTTCATATCACTTCAATCGTAACCGCATAGTAGAAGCAGTCTCATAATTCAGACGTTATCGAAGCCAAAATGCTACTAGCGGGTGGCGCTATTAAAGCGAATCATGCTTCCGTATAATTTTAGTGCTTCCGCTGTGTCATTTAATGTATACCATAATGTTGTACTACTGCATATCATAGTGTAATATTGTATGCCATCTCTCCTAAGCCCTGCTGCCACGTTCAGGTAGTGTGATAACGGGTTCTTCAGACGATGTACGGCTGAGTCTTTAGGTTCTGACAGATTCATTCATGCTGTGAAATCCCGAAAAATGCGCTCGGCAAAGTGGAAACGGTTACAATCATTGACTCGCTTGA